TAGGGAGAATCCACAATGGATCTTGGGGTCTTGGGTTGTAACCACTATGTGGAGAGTGCGGAGGGCTAAAAAGTCAGGCGGTTTCCTGTCCCCAGCTGCATGGGGCTATGGCCGACAAAGGGGAGGCCCTGCCCCCTCCTCCTCCCACCCCTCCCCCTTCCTCTCCCACCCCTCCCCTGAGCCCTAGGAGCCAGGCTCTTGCTCGGTGCCAGTAGCTTGGGCACTGTGAGGACAGTGAAATCAGAAGCGAGGGCATGTCAGAGGCCAGGGCACCTTGGCAATCATCTGTCCATCTGTCAGTCCTCGTGGGGAGGGAGGGTAGAGGCACGACAAGCAGGGAAAGGGCAACGTGCTTGCTTGCTAATGGGGAGACCTAGGAGACACAGGCGGCTCCCCCGCTCCCTGGCCCGCTCTCTCCCTCTCCTGCCATCAGCTGGGCGCGCTGGCCCTGCAAGGAGGAAGGAAGCCACTCAGCAGGGAACAGTGCCAACTCTCCCAAAGCTGGCTTTTCTTTTTCTGCTTGCTTCCTTCTCTCCAGGCGTCCAGGGGCCATGATCAGTACCCTCATGGGGTGAGGTTGGGGGCACCTTGATGTCCCAATCGAAGTTCCTCCCTCCCTCCCCTGGAGACAATGATCCACAGATCCGTGGCCTGCCAGGAGAAGGCCCCTGCTGGAAATGGCATCTGCTTGCAGGAGAGGTGGAAGTGGAGGTGCAGAGGCCGAGCACTATCTGATGAGTACTGCAGGCCTGGAGTGGGGGACTGAGTAGCCTGTGAGACCAGCAGAGGCCACTGTCCTTGGAACAGGGAGAGGAGATTCTTGTACAGTGGGGGTCATGAACACCAGGCCACATGGTGAAATGCTGGACAGGGCCTGAGCTGAGCCACAGTGGCAGGAGGGTGCCCCAGGCCTTCCTCCCATCCCAGCCCACTCCCCTCTGGGCCCTGACATTTCTCCCAGGCACATACCAGCACATGACAATGAATCTGAGCCCCTCCAGGCCCCCACACCCGGCTGCGGCTGTCTTGGCTCATCTGTCCGTCACTCGATCCTCCACACCTGTTCCAGGCACAGCCTGTGAACTTCCCACCCGCACGCACAGCTATGAATAGGGTAGAAGGAGAGGAGAAAGGGGCATTCAGAGGGCAGGGTGGTGAGAAGGGGTGGGCAGCTTTCTTTTTTTCTTAGGCTGAGAAAATTGAAAAGAAAACTTGTTTGGGAGAGGTGTCTAGAGTGGGGGGGTCTAAGGGTGAAGGGGAAATGCCTATACTACAGCTCAGGAAGAGGGGTGGTTGAAACTGGAAGGGTCTGTGCACTGAGGACAAGATGCAGTGCTGTGAGCTGGGTCGTCTGTGTCACTGGCCCTTGCCTCCTGGGTCTGTGCAGTGCAACCCCAGGCCGGTTCTGGGGCTGACTTCCCCTGTTGAGACCTGGCAGTGTCTTCCTCTCTCCCCCCTTCTTCCCACCTGACCACCAGCTCACCAGTTCTATGTGCTCTCCCAGTTAGGTACAAATTGCTTGAGAGCAGAATTACTGCCTCAACTTTTTTCTGCCCTCACTGTCCCTAGCAGTGCTGGGCTGGGACTGGATAAATGGATAACTGAATGATTAGAAGGGCCAAGAGAGTGGGAGGTGATGACAGAAGACCTAGATTGTATTTGAGATGGAGTGGAGCATCCCCCAACTCCCCAAAGTAGATAAATGGGTTCTTTGAGACCAAGGAACCTGGCTCCTCTCATGCAGCGCCACCCGGAGGTGAGAGGTGGATCAGCAGCATGCAACTTTGTGAAGGGAGGAGTTGGGGGTATTGGGGATGGAACCCAGAGCATTGCCCGTACTAAGCAAGTGCTCTACCACTGAACTACATTCTCAGCCCTCTTTGAATTTTTTATTTTGACACAGGTTCTAAGTTGCCCAGGCTGGCCTCCAGTGTGGCAGTCCTTCCTCAGCCACCCGAGTAGCAGGGATTACAGGCATGTGTCACCTCAGTCTGCCTCATGGAACATTTATTGAAGGCCCACCTGTACCAGCACTTTCCAAGGGCTTGGAGAGAGCTTAGTTCTTGCTCCCCAGGGAACTTTCCATCTAGATAGGTCATCACAGCCTAGAGCAATGAAATGGAGTGTACAAATAGACACTGGGGTTCTGGGATAGGATAACAGTTTCTGTGTATGGGGAAGAGGGTGGATGTCAGCCAGTTCTTAACATGGTGCACAGCGTTCTAGGTAGCACACGCATAGACGTTTCTTCTTTAATAGTTCTGTGATTATTGACACTTACATGGGAAAAATAGAATCTTTACTTTCATGGATCGATTGCTTAAAATGAAATCAAGGAATAAAAGTGAATTGATTTAAAAGGCACTGTGAGGGGCATAGTTGGATATGTGGCAGATGATACATGAATGTAGCATTGATCAGAGCAGGCCACCAGTGGCTACTGCCTGAGAATGGTGACTATTCAATGCCCTGGTCTCACTCCATGTTTGGTGCTGGCCCTTCCCAGGCAGCTGGGCCTCCTGTTGGCATTTTTTTAGGCATAATCCACATTTCTGCCATGGGCTTCTAGTTGCAGCATATCCTGAGCACACAAATGGTCCCTAAACCCCCTCTTAGGATCAGTCTGGCAAACTCGGCCTTCTAGAAGGAACACATGACAGGGAAACTGGGACAGAGAAAACCCAGGTTCTTACCCCATTTTACCTGTCATTTCACAAGAATATCTTGGACCATGGCTGCAATGAATTCTGGCCCAGCAGAGGCCTGATGCACTTCTGCCAGGACTGCCTTCCCTCTTGGACTCACAATGGACACAACAGAGGCAGAGAGGGGAAACTGAGGCCAACCCAAGGGTGGGAGGGTATTGAATAAACACAGTTGTTTGTTTCAGAGTCTGAGCGTTGGCTTGAATGCTGCTGTAATTCTTTTTCTTTTGCTTTCCTCCTAATGGCCTCATTAACACCAACGCGGAACTCACCGAACCATATACCATTCTATTTCAACATTAAAACATCCTAAAAAGAATACACCCTCATTCTATTCCATAGCCTGCTTTCCTCACTCACTGTGTTTGTGTTCATCCACAATAATAAACACAGGTACTTCCTAGCACTTTTTGTGGCTCCATAATATTTCTATTGTGCCATAAGGCAATTAACACCCTTTGGTCTACAGAAGGTCTTGCTCTTGGAGAACTCCAAAAGGAGAGAAATGGTATTTGTGTGCCCCCTAGTGGCCAATAGTAGAACTGCCTGGACCTGATTCAGATCTTCCTGGGGTTCTGGGAATCACCATATCTGGGTTCAGAAGAATCCTGAGGGTTATAACCTGAACCATGATCTGCACTCCCAATACATGTGTAGGGCTGTGCTCTGTTTCATCACTGCAGTTTTGATTTCAGACCAGTTGTGTGGGTGGGTGGAGCGGCCTCACCCTAAGAAGCAGCCTTTCATGATGTCTGTGCGTCTCCTGAGTCCTGACAAGCAAAGTAATCTAATGTGGGGCCTGAGTTCTGTATGTGGGCACCCCTAAATGGCCTAGAGTTTCAGAAATACAATTCCAGCATCAGTCCCTAAGGCAGTGATTTGGCTTATACAGTGCCTGCCTCCCTTTGTTGCGTTGGGACAGGCATTGCAGATGGAGCCTGCCGACCTCAGCCTGAGCCATGTGACCTTGAGCAAGACCTAACTGCTGTTAGGGAGCCTCATGCTAAACTGAGGCTGAGGTGTGTATGTGCTGTTGACAGTCCACCTTACCCATCCCCTTTACCACTTAGTCCACCTTTACTAAGAGGGAAGCATTGCAGATAAACTTCAGATCAGCTCCATATCCAGCTGGACAGGAAAGAAGAGCAGGGTGTCCTGGGGCCTGTGAGGAGTGGGTGGAAAGGACCAGCAACAGGGCTCATGGAGACCCCTGGAGCCAGCTGGCCAGGCTGAACTTGAGCTCCTGGGGTCAAGTGATCCTCCTGCCTCAGCCCCCGAGTAGCTGGATCTATAGGTGCCACCCCAGGTTTCAGACTTCGTTTCTGAAGGCAAATCTCAGCAGTTAAGAGAATGAACCAGAAGGCGGGGAAGACTGGTATTGGGGAGGTTGGTTTGGAGGCTGAGAGAGAAATGTGCAAAGATCAAAGGTGACTGTACTCAGAATGCCATAGAGATGAACGAGAGGCCAGCCCCAGAGCCATTTCTGAAAGAGCATCAGTAGGATCTGGTGACCAGCTGGCCAGAGGAGGAGACCTGGAGATGTCCCTTGCATCCTCTCTATCAGTCCACTGTTTTGGCTTTCTGTTCTCATGCATTCTTCATTGTTAACATTGACTCTCGAAAGGTTCTAATAAATTAATTCATACTAAGATAAAAATGATAAGGATTTGTATGTCTGCAGTTTGTTAAGAACAAACTCAGACTGTAAAACTCAAAGATTCTAGAAACAAAATTGGGGAACCTACTTACTAGATGTTATAGTATCTGAGCAGGTGGCAGTAGCTTAAAGCAAATGTAGGCCCCAGTGTTCTCTTTTTCCATAGTTTACAGCAGGCCTGGGTGTAGAGAATGCTGGAAGCTTTCCAACGTCTATAATCCATGTTTTCTGTGTGTTGGAGTGGAACCCATGGCATCATGCATGCTAGGCAAGCCCCCTGCCACTGAGCTACGTCTCCAACTCTGTCCACATTCTTTTTTTTTTTTTTTTTTTTTTGGTACCAGGAATGGAACCCAGGGGTACTTAACCACTCAGCTAACCCATTATATTTTGACACAGGGAGTTGCTGAGGCTGGCCTTGAACTTGCAATCCTCCTGCCTCAGCCTCCTAAGCCATTGGGATAACAGTCATGTGCCACTGCTGGTCCAACACATTCTTTTTAAGCCCTCCTGATTTCTTCCCAGCCCAAGAGGTTGCACTGTGACCTTGAGGGGCTCCTTGACTCAGAGCCTATTCGTCTGATAGGGCTCTGCTGATGCTGCTGACCGTGTCCTTGGCTTCCCATGTCTCCCTGCAGGCAGACCTCAACACCAATATCGAGGACGAGGGCAGTTCCTTCTATGGAGTCTCCAGCCAGTATGAGAGTCCCGAGAACATGATAATCACCTGTTCTACCAAGGTCTGCTCATTCGGCAAGCAGGTGGTGGAGAAAGTTGAGGTAGGAGGCCACCCTGGTGGGTGGGTGTGTGGGGGGCATGAGGGCTGAGTGGCCTCCTTCCCTGGGGGCTCTCCTGAGGACAGGATTGTTCAGAGCCTCCCTGTGGAAGGTGGGCTCCACATGGCTTCTGTGTGCGTCGGAGAAGAGCGCCCTCTAGCTGTGGACCATCAACAAGCTCCCTGTTGCCTGCACAGCTCTGCGTGCCACCACTAACCCTCCCACCCTGGGACCCCTCTTCCAAGCACATCCTTACAGGCATCCCAGGTCCTCTCTGAGAGCAGGGGCAGAGGATGTCAACAACAGAGCTCCAGGGTCTCGTCCCTGCTTCCCTGCTCACTGTTTACTCCGCAAATGCTGAAAACTGTTCATGTCTCTGTTCCTCAATTTTTGAGTACCCTGGAGACCCACACTAGTGGGTGTGACAGAAACTTCACTTCCTTTAGGGCAGTGGGGTCTGCCAGTACAGGGGTGCAGGGTAATGGGGCCACAAATTCCGAGGACCCGGGTTTAAATATCAGCCCCCCTGCTTTCTGATGGATGTTTGGGAGGGGGGATGATAAAACCCTTCATTTATCTCTAAATAAGTGACAAGGTGTCTCTCTGTCACAGTGGCCCAGGAGATGGGATGAAATGCCTCCATTCCAGAACACCTGTGTCCCTGAGTCCTGTGCAGTGCCACAGGCTTGTGAGGTTGCTGCAATGTCAGACTAGATGCCATCCTCCCCTCTTTCCTCTGAAATTAATGGTCTGAGTTAATGAAGTCCTACTGTCACAGACCATCAGTTACTGATAAGCTACATCATGCCAAACAACCAGATGACAGCAGCAGGCAAGAGATATTCTGTCCTCGAGTTTCCGAACCCTGGCTGTACCTTAGAATCACCTGGGGGCCTTTGAAACGCATCAAAAGCTCCTACCCCCACTCATTTTGTGTACCCTCATCTATGGAGTGGGGACCAGGTGATGGCAATTTTATTTATTATTCATTTTTGCAGTGCTGGGGATTGAATCCAGGGCTTTGCACATATTAGGCCAATGCTTTCCCACTGAGCTACACTGCCAGGCCCAAATTATTTAATTTAAAAAATTTTGGACAGGCCTGCAATCCATCCCACATACCTCCCCCCTCTACTCCTGCACTGGAAGCTTCCCACAGAACTGGGCAACTTCAATGATAATCAGGAAGTTGATGTCAGTCTAACCCACCAATCTGGTTCCGATTTCTAGAGTTGTGTGTGCACCATGTGTGTAGATTCCCATGATTACTGCCAGAGTCCAGGTACATGGGGCTTTGTTCTAGTCAGCTTTTTCACTGCTGTGACTAAAAAGACCTGACAAGAACAATTATAGAGCAGAAAAAGTTTATTTAAGGGTTCATGGTTTCAGAGGTCTCAATCCCTAGATAGCCAGCTTCATTCCTCGGGGCTTAAGGTGAGGCAAAACATCTTGGGGGAAGACTGTGGTGGAGAGAAGCAGCTCACATGATGATCAGAAGGCAGAGAGACTCCACTCACCAGATACAAAATATATACCCCATACCCACGGCCCCAGTGAACCACCTCCTCTAGCCACATGCCACCTGCCTCCAGCCACCACCCAGTTAATCCCATCAGGGATTAATTTACTCATTAGGTTAAGACTACGACCCAATCATTTCTCCTCTCAGCCTTTTTTTCCCCTCTTATTTATTCATTCATTCATTCTAATCAGTTGTACCTGACAGCAGAATGCTCTTCGATTAATTGTACATAAATGGAGTATAATTTTTCACTTCTGGTTATACACAAAGTAGAGTCACACCATTTGTGCAATCATACATGTACCTAGGGTAATGATGTCCGTCTCATTCCACCATCTTTCCTATACCCATGCCCCCTCCTTTCCCCTCCCTCCCCTTTGGCCCATCCAGAGTTCCTCCACTTATCCCATTCCCCTCTCCAAGCCTTCTAGCATTGTCTCACACATTAGCTTTTGCGACACCTCACATCTACGCCATAGTAGGTTTCTAGCCCCACAAGGGTCCCTGGGTACTCTCTGCCCCATAGTCCCCTAGTGTGCAGCCAGAATTGAGAAGCACCTATTCCATCTCATCTGTTGCTGCCACTCCTGGGTCTCTAAGCTCCCCTCATCCGCCTGTCCTAATGAGGGAGGGAGACTTGGTTTAATGTCACTGAACTTCAGAGGTTGGCCCTGCTCTCAGGCCTCTAGGCCTCCTGCCTTTTCTTCCTGCTAAAAGTGACTGGTTGTGGGAGCTTTCCTGTGAATGGGGCCTGGGAGGCAGGTGAAGGGAGTCTAAGCCCCTACTGTCCTCTGGGTCCTGCAGACAGAGTATGCCCGTTATGAGAATGGCCACTACTCATACCGCATCCACCGGTCCCCACTCTGCGAATACATGATCAACTTCATCCACAAGCTGAAGCATCTGCCCGAGAAGTACATGATGAACAGCGTGCTGGAGAACTTCACCATCCTGCAGGTGTGCGGGCGGGGGCCGCAGGCCTGGGACTGTGGTCCTTAGGCGGATGGCACACATGTCGTCCCCATGTGGAGCCTTAACTGTGTCTCCTCTGTCTCTCCTACAGGTAGTCACCAACAGAGACACACAGGAGACCCTGCTGTGCATCGCATATGTGTTTGAGGTGTCGGCCAGCGAGCATGGGGCTCAACACCACATCTACCGGCTGGTGAAAGAATGAGAGACTCGGGGAGCAGGGAGGGGGGTGGACGTGTGTGCAGGAAATGGGGACATGGGGAGGGGACCTGCAGGGACATCCCCCTGAAGTGCTAAGTGAGCTGAGCAGAGTGGTCATGATTCTTCCTGCCAGAAAGAAACAGTGCCTGATCCTGCAATGCCCATCCCCAAATAAACCCAAGATGTGTATTTTCAGAGGAGCTGGTCTAGCTGAATGAGCCCTGGGAGGGACTGGGGGAGAGGGGCTGTCTGGGAGGCAGACTGGACACAGTGCCCACAGATGGACCCCTGCAGTCCTCAAGCCAGCCACCCCAGTGGCCCCAGCCAGGAGCATCTCCAGGTGCCGAAGCTCAAGTCCTGATGTCTCTACTGCTGCTCGAGCCCCTCATCTGTTTCTCCTGTTGCTGCTGGCCACGAGAGGCCCAAGGGTCGATGGGCACCTGGGCCATGCACCCTCAGCTTCTTGTACATGACTGCACCTTGATGTCCTGCCACTGCCGCTGACAGCTGGCACCAGGCCCCGTCTACCAGAGCTTGGAGTTTAGGTGTGGAGGTGATAAGAGTTGTTGGAAGATGACATGGTCAGGCCGTCTAGATAGTTTTCAACATTCAAATGAAGGCAGGGGCAGAGGGAGGAGGTGGCCAGGCTGAAGCCAGGTGGAGGCATTTGGATGATTGACATCAGAAGCCTCCATATGCATGGTGGTGAAGGGCCAGAGAGTTGGTCCAGTAACCATCGCAGCCCCGTGGTCTCTGTGATCCTTCCAGTTCTGATGGTCTGTAAGTCCTGCCTCAAATAACCATCTGTGGGGCCTCTTATATGGTAACCTCCTTGGAACCAGCCTTGGGCTAGCTACCTTCCTCCCCAGGAGTTTCTGTGTCCCTTGGGGCTGGGGTGGAAGGTAGTGGAACCCACTCAGCCTAGAGGTACCCCACTGTGGGGTTCCTTGGCTCATCTCAGAACTGGCAGGGACTTTGGGTGTAGGCAGACCTAGTTTAGTCCTAGCTTTCCTGCTGCCTGACATTAGCAAATTTCTCAACCCATCTGAGCCCCAATCTCCTTTCCTCCTTGCGAAGTGGGAAAGCAACAGCACTTATCTACAAAGCCCTTTGAGAGGAGGAGAGGGGATGTTTGTGAAGTGCCTAGCGCAAGCTGCACCAAAATGTTTAATGGTAATTAGCTCTTCTCTGCCGGCCCTAGGGAGAGCCTGGGCCTGGCTCTTTGCTGCCACCTAGTGGCTCTTTGGTATCATCTTCCCTAATAGGAACCACAGTTCTAGCAGCCTGCAGCTGAACAGGCATGTTTACTGTATGCCCAGTGCTCAGGGAGAATTCTATGGGAATACAAAAATGATAACAGCAGAATCAAGGAGATGTTGTGGAGTGGTGTTTCAGAGCAAGGGCTCTGGAGTCAGACTAGCTACTGACTTTGACCTTGGTGCAAGTTCATTAATTTCCCTATGCCTCAGTTTCCCCATCTGTCAAATGGGTGTAATAATAATAACCTACCTCGTATATGTAAGTGCCTACCATAGTCTGAGCATATCCATGTGTTCAATAAATATGCATTGCTGTTACCTGCAGGAGCCTGTGGTCTGAAGAGTCAGACTGGGAAGCCATCTGTGGTGGGCTGATCCCTGAAGCAACTGGTGATCAGAGATAACAGAGATCAGGGTGTGGAAGATTTAAAGAAGTGGTGCTTGAGGAGTGCTGGCCCTTGAAGTATGGGCAGTATTTATTTTATTTTTATTACTATTTTTCTGCAGTGCTAGGGATCAAACCAGGACTTTGGGCATGCTAGACAAGCACTCTACCACTGAGCTACATCCCCAGAATTATTTAGATAAGCAAATGGGAGGAAGCTGGATGTCATCCCAGAGAAGCAAGCCACTTAATTTCCCTCTACCCCTCTATCTTTTCATCAAAAAGCAGTTTAAACCCCTCTGGCATCAGGATCCCAGGTAGACCAGCCTCCACAACTTAGTGAGACCCTGTCTCAAAATTTTAAAAAAAGGAGGAGGATGGGGCAGCTAAGGACTGCATCCCTGGGCAGATGGTGTGTGCACCTATGTCCCTGTGCGGGTGTGTATTTGCAGAAGGCTCTCCTGACCCCTCTCCTGGTCACCACCACAGCTCTTGACCTCTCCTCCCTGACCAGGCTGCTTGGATGTGGAGGCCCAAGATGCTCACCCTCCTAGCTTGACTGACAGCTGCAACACCATGCAGCTTCAGACCAAGGCTGGTGAAGGGTGTTGTGTGGTAAGCTGCTTGGCTGTGGACAAATTAAAGACAAACCCCTGTGTCAAGGAGGAAAGGAGGGCGGGGCTATCTCTCTGCTGCCACCTAGTGGCTGCCTCCTAGCCCATGTGTTGGTTGTAAGTTTCCCTTTCCCTTTATGAACTGAACTCAGCTGCCCAACGGAGAGTTGCCTTCTGATAGGTGGACATTCCAAATGGCTCACCATAGGAGGTTGCAGGTATAGCTGCCTCTCTTTTCCCGGGTGACTATGACCCTTGGGGTCAATGGCAAACAGGATCTGCTCTACCAACCCTCCAGGCACCCTCCCTGACTTACTGACTCTGCAGAGCACGCTGCCCCCCACAGACGGCCATGGCCAGTAGTGCTCTTCCCCTCCTTTCCCACTAGCCACCTGTGATTCATTTTACAAAAATGAATGAGGCCGGACACAGTGGTGCACGTTTTGTAACCACCAACTCAAGAGGATTAGGCAGGAGGGTAGCAAGTTCAAGGCCAGTCTCCACAACTTAGTGAGACCCTGTCTCAACATTTTTAAAAAAGGAGGATGGGGCGACTAAGGTTGTAGCTCAATGATAGAGTGCCCCTGGGTTCAAATCCCAGTGCCAAGCTGGGCTCAGTGGTACATGTCTGTCATTCCAGTGGCTTGGGAGGCTGAGGCAGGAAAATCACAAGTTTAAAGCCAACCTCAGCAAATGTGAGGTGCCAAGCAACTCAATGAGACCCTGTCTCTAAATAAAATACAATATAGGGCTGGGGATGTGGCTCAGTGGTCAAACGCCCCTGAGTTCAATCCCTAGTACTCCCCGTCCCCCCCCAAAATCATCCCAATGCCAAAACGACCAATGAGGAGTCACCTCTTCTGCAAAAGCCTTAGTCACTCCTGCCCTTGTGTCAAAGCATTCCACTCACCCTGTGGGAGCACCCATTACCTACCTGGTCCTTAAATAGGGGAACTTTTAAGGGAACTTCCACAATCTTCATAGGACAGGTACTATGCTAACCCCATTTTTTAATTTTGAGATGGGGAACTCACTGTTGCTTAGGCTGGGGCTTAAGCAATCCTCTTGCCTCGGCCTTCATATAGCTGGAACCGCAGGTTGCTGCAATCACAGCACTAGGAAGAGAGTGAAGCATGGAGCCCAGTAACTTTATTATGTTGTTGATACATTTTATTCACTAATTTTGCAAATATTTATTTAACTTCTGCTTTGTGCTAGGCATTGAGGATGTGTCAGTGAGCAAGACAGACAGGGTCCCGTTGGCACTTAGGAGCTACCTTTGTGGAAGAAGGAGTAAGAAAGGGAACCGAACGTGCAGGTCCTGGGAAGGGCAGGCAGGCAAGCCAGAGGCCACTGTGGCTGGTTCCTGAAGAACAGGTAGCCAGCCCCCAGAGGGCTAGGGAACAGCATTCCAAGCTGAGGAAGCCTGGGTCTCCAGTCATGAAAGGGACAGGTGTGCCCCAGGTGTCTAGAGAAAGCCACTGAGCCTGGAATGCCAGCCAGGGAGTGACAAGACTGAGGGCTGAGGTGGGCAGGGGCTGATCATGCCCCTGGCCGGCATCCACATGGAAAGAGGGGCAGGACAGAGGACAGATGACCGTGTGTGTGTGTGTGTGTGTGTGTGTGTGTGTGTGTGTGAGAGAGAGAGAGAGAGAGAGAGAGCACTGCATCTAATCCAGGTGACCATTCTGAAAATGTCACAACTTAGGTATTTAAAAACATCCCCTGGGCTGGGCGGAGCTCAGTGGTAGAGCACTGGCCAGCATGCTATGGAGCACTGGGAAAAAAAAAAAAAAAATCCCCTGACTGCTCCTCCGCAAACACACCCTTTTTAGAGGGGAAAAGGCTCTACTGTGCTACTCAAAGAAGACCAGAGGGCCCCACGCTCCTTGGCTCAGCTAGAACTGTCCAGCTGTGGGTCGCACTGTTAGTCTTTTGTTCTCACCCTGGTCTCAGCAATGAGGAGGGAAGTATTCTTAATTGGAAAGATAATTATGGCCAATTATTAGGGGGAGAAAAGCCCCAGAGAAAGGTCTAAAGGGAAGGACTCTGCAAATGGAGGACTGAATACACAAGAAACTGGAATGTGACTTCTGTTGTACGTGCCGAGGAAGGATGGGGAGAGGTGGCCAAGGCCCTCCTTAGAAGGCTGAACCCCAATTGGTGGAAATGACTGAGCTTGTGGGTGTCTGATATTCAACCTAAAGGTTTTTGTATTTTTGCTATGTAAACCCCCTTCGACTTTACAAATCTTCAGTAAAGTCTGCTACATCCCAAGGCCTTTGTGCAAGTGATGTCTTTCTTTGGGAATAATCAAGTTCCACACCTGTCCAGAGTGCAAAAACAGTAATGGCAGACCCACACGTAACTAGCATTTATAGATCACATGCTGTATGCCAGGCACTCATCTTAGTTGCTGGGGATACACCAGGGCAGCATGCAATACTCTTTGCTCTCACGTGACTTCCATTCTGGTAGGGGGCACAATAAACTAGCAACAAGATGGGTAAGGAAGCAAGTGAGAATTTATTTATATTATATAGGAGCTAAGGACTTTTTTAATGTTTTGAAATGGTTGAATAAAAATCAGCCTTCATGGGGGCAAGAAAGATGGTGGAATGAGATGGACATCATTACCCTAGGTACATGTATGACGCTACATGTGTACAACCAGAGAAATGAAAAGTTGTGCTGTAATTGTATACAATGAGTCAAAATGCATTCTGCTGTCATATATACCTAATTTGAAAAATCTGAGCAATAATAACAATGAAGTGTGCTGTCAATGAAAAAAATGAAATAAAAATTTGAAAAACTTTTTCAGTGGAAGTAGGAGCTCAGAGCAGAGTGAGCTGCCCACAGACCCAGACCAAGGCCTTCTCAGAGTAGCCACTCTGGATGACGTCACACTGTGGGATAAAGTTGAAGTCAGTATTCTC